GATATATAGAAGATCAAGAAAGAAGTCGTGCAAAACAAAAACTCCAGGAAAACGGCAAAAGGAACGCATGACGGCAAAACCAGACATAACTCGTAAGCCCCTGCCCGAGCCTGGCATTGCTTTCTCTTTACCGCTTCCACTCCTGTTCACCCAAACCAGTACTATGTACCACTGCCGCACGTAATATTCTGATTCGTAAAGACGGCCACAAAGTCATGATTGAGGGACGTTTATTCTTTGGACATGATTGCATAAGCTTTTAACGTCACCTTCAATAGCCCATCGTTTGTGAAAGGAAGTAAGGAAGGTTCCGGCCTCTGTTTAATTCCTTGACGAGAAGCCCATCGTCCCGGCTCGATTAATCAACGGCTCTCGCGGACGAGGATCACGGCCACGAGACTGTTCGAGCGGCGCAGTGTTTTCTCGACGTAACGATCGGATTGGCAAAGGAGGAACAGGAGGAGCATGGCTAGGCGATTGTTGGGTTCCTGTGATAGACCGGCTCCGAGGACGGCTAACAACCGTCATGGACGAAGAAGAGGGCAGAGGTCGAGACTGCCCTACAAGACCAGAGGCACTCCCAGTGTTGAATGAATTGTTCGTCGATCCCCCAGTAGCGAGACTGATTAAGGGACCACCGGCTGGGGCCTTTACACCATGGCCCTTGTTCTCGCGCCAGCGAGGCGGCTCAGGGAAGCTGTTGGTAAGATTTACTAGCGGCTGTGGCATATCTGGGACCTTCTCAGACGTGGTAGGACGCCTATTGGGATCTCGGACAGATCGACTACGGTAGCGTGGCTGAGAAGACTGATCTGTTCCCAAAGGAAACCATGATTTTGAAACTGCCATGTTCTCATTAGGAGACGTTGGCGAGACAACACCACCGTTGAGAAGTGAAGGACCCTCTGTGAAAGCGGTATTTGTTGAAGGAACACTGTTGTTGATTGGCGCTCGCTCAGAGATCTTGCGCTTTTGCTCATATCCTTGACCCAGGAGCGAGGCTCCTTTTGTGAAAGCCGCGTTGGTGGGAGGGAGGCTGATGACAGGCGCCCGTTCAGCTATTTTGCGTTTCTCTTCGTATACTTGACCCAAAAGCCCCGTAGAAGAGAATTGCGCCTCGTCTCGAGGCGTTGGCGGTGACCTATGCTTTTGATGTGTTGATTTGGACGATGTTAATACGTTTGGCTGTTTGCAGGTCGCCTTCCGGACGAGTCCACTTTTAAACTCAGTATCATGATCCCCATGTTTTGTTTTGTCCTGTTCTAGATCTTTGCCGAACTCCTCCAGGGGTTTATCAAAGCGGTCCATATCAAGAAGTGGCTGGAAAGCGCCAATGGTGTATGGCGTCTCGTCAACAAAAACCTGCGTACTATGCCCTTTATGTGTGGCAGAACTCTTCGTTCTGGAAATGGCTTTAGGAACCGTGTCGTTTTCTAAGTGCATGGCAAGTTGCGGGGGCTTATCCTTTTTCTCGAAGTCAACCTGCTTATTGACAAGATACCAGCTTCGCCAACGTTGCACAAGTTCAAGAAAACGCCTGGCAAGCTTTCCGTCTTCAGCGCAGAAGAAATGAACAAAATTCTCGCCGTTTGGAAAAACGAATGTCTTCTGTTGGCTCTTAACAGCATAGCAAAAGCGACGGGGGGCCTTTAAATGACGCCTGGCCTCACTCTCTCTTGGTGTATAAATGTCAAAATCTGATAAGTGACACAGGACAGTACTGTCTTTATCCGAAGCCTTTGAATCAGGCTTCTTGGAAGCAAACATCTGACCAGATTCCAGCAAGGTAATCCATCGCTTGTTCCATTTACCTGGCCTGGAAGAGTGGTACATTTGTAGCGTGAAGCCTGGGGGAGGGGTTGGGGTTCGTGGGACAGACTTCATATCGAGATCAGGGTCATCGGATTGTGAGATATCATTGGTGACAACAAGAAGGGAGTTCTGCTGGTCACGATCCCAAGAATTCATAACGTCACGAATTCGTTCATAACGGCGAAGGCGCCGTTCGAGACCAAGTTCAACGTAGCATTCGATCAACACGCTTGCCTTGGGGTCGATATCATGGCTGGTCAGGTTGGCGGTCGAGTAGAGGATATCAACAGGAGAGGTATCAGTGTTGACAGGAAGATTGATGACTGATGATAGGCATCGTACGCACACGCGCTACAGAGAAACCCCATGTTAGAATCTGAACGAGCACACCTGAGGATTAGGGATACAACTTACTCTCTCACCTCCATTACTGGCCGAAGTTGGGGCGTCAGTGCCTGGCACGATACCTTTACCACCCTGTTCTATGAAACTCATTTTTCCTGGTGATGAAGATTCCTCAGGACTGGTAGGCCGGCTGAGATCAAGAGAAAAGACTGTTGGTGCCCCTGGGCTTGGCGTGCCGGCTTGGCTTGTCAAGGCATTCGATCGCCGAGTGCGATAGAGAAATGAAAACTTGTCAAGAACAAGAAATCGTGGAAATTTGGGGGACGGAGTCGGCAGTTGCGCTCGGCGGCGGGCTAGGTCGCGTTTCTTCTGCTCGGCGAGGATGCGATCAGTCTCAGCCTCAAGACGGGCGGCTAGGCGTTCAGCCTCGTCTTCCTCGCGCTCAAGGTCCCCTCGTTCGATTTTTGCAGCGCGTTCGGCAGTTTCAGTATTGATACGCAAGGCATGTAGATTGCGACGTTTAAATCTGGCAATATCGCTCGCAGACGGCACGGTGCGAAGTATAGGTGATTCTGGAGCTGGCAGATCAAAAGTATATGTCGGTGGAAGGGGTTTGAACAAGTCTGGGCCCCGGGGACGACTTCGGCTGCGGCTGCGGCTGCGGCTGCGGCTGCGGTCACGGCCAGTAAGATGCGCAGTGCTGCGGGAGAACTCTTGGTTCAAATCTGGTGATCGTAGAGGTAGAGGTTTCGAAGCTAAGTTCGAAAGGAATGGTGGGATATTCGTAGTTTTAGGCGTTAGAACATATAACGGACTTGCCAGGGGGCTACTGGGGCCGGGTGGGACAGCGGGCGACGGTGCGGTCTGAGACTCTGCTGAGGCCAAGTTTAAATTGCCTGATGTGCCAACGAAGCTTTGTGCACACGGCGACACCAGTACTGACGGATACGGGGAGCGAATGATCGAAGGCACAGAACACAGCGAATCCTGACGGTGCCTATTGGGCCCATTGCCATTAGCAGCGCTGGCCGGCGCAATTCGTGGAGAGAGGCTACCAATGACCCCTGTAACGCCCCCCGCGAGACCTTTCAAGAATTCGACTCCGCGATTGCCAACTGAAACCGAGACTGAGGGGGACGGCAGCGCTGGGACCACCGGCTCAATAAGTTTTCGTTCGCGCGATAAAGTTAATAACGAAGTCACACTCCTGGACCGGCGTCGAACGGTTCGCGCGGCTAATGTTGGTGAGTCAGAGTTAAGCCGTGGATAACAGTCCCCCTCGGCAAGATGGGCTCCTTCTGATGGCGGGTCGGCATAAACCTCAAATGTTTTTCGAGATTCAGCACACACACTTTTCCCGCGTAAATTTCTATATTTCGAGAAGTCTGGTATTGGTGGTTTTGTATCATTGATTGGGAACTGCAAGTAGTCATGAAATTGCAATGGGGCAGCCGCGACCGCCACTGACGACGACATACTAATGGTGCTGCCGCTAACGAATTTGTTCCTGCAGTGGTGAATGGACCCTTGAATAGCACTGATGCAGCCCTATCGGACCCTTTGAGGACCTGAAGCGCCCAATAAGGTTTTCGGATCGAGCCGTTGTTGCAAGATTGGGCAGGTCGTCGCTTAAGATCGCCGACAGGGTTGATCTTAGGTAGCAGGTAGGCAGGTGTTTTCGTATCAGGCTCGTCTACTCCACGGAAGTTGATAAATGATAGGAAACGACTGACAATAAAAGCCGACGGCTTTTAATAGCATCCATGAGAACTTGAATTTTCGATTCGATGATCAGCAAACGATTGCTTTCGTATCTAGATAACACGAGACCGAAACTCAAAAAGCGTTCACACCAGGTGAACAATGCTGATTGCTGATGTTGGAATAAGAGCTTGGGTTAAGCTGATCGTGCAAGTTTTTTCAAAGAAGATGCTGTGAGGAGAGCAACCAGCGGCCACAATTTTTGCAGTTTGAACAAGCAGTCGACGAGAATGCAAGGCGAGGGCGCCGAAGGGGGCGGGAGTCAGCATCCATAATAACAGAAGCAAGCACCACATGACTTGACGAGAAAGTGCAGACTCATCCCTAGACAAAGCTCGATTTTCGGTAATGTAATGAAAGCCCGCTCAATCGCAGCAATGGTATGTGGCCAGGTGCAAGAGGTGAGTCTCTGGTATGAGGACAGGTTTTTAAGGGCCGAGGTGCAACTTGCTCCCTTTAGACATTCATTCCAGTGTTCAACAACGCATAAATACTTCCTAGAATGGGGGCGG